AGAAAATGTCTAAAATCTGCCCTGTGCCATCATTGACCTGTGACCTCCAATTTTGGCACAGTGATGGCTTTTCCTACCATGATGCTATACACCGACTATCACGAGCCTAGGTCGAGCCGTTTAGATTTGTGCCGCAATTCTGCATTTCCTCGCCTATACCTTAAGTTAAGGAGTAAATGTTCCCTTCTTTTACACCTCTTGACCTTTGACCTTTGACCCCCAGCTTACATCCCAACTCGTTTTCGGATTACCCCCCACGTCCCGAATATCGTGACCGTACGTCGAGCGGTTAAGATTTGTGCCCAACTGTTGACGGACGGACGCACGGACGGACGGACGCACGGACGATCATGCGATTCTACAAGCTGCATCTGACTATGTCAGATGAGCTAAAAACGAAATCCTCCTAAACACGAACCAAACCACGGTTTTCCATCTTGGAAATAAGTATGAAAACTGAGCTGATTGCGACGGACCTTTGTCCACTGCATAAGAGAAACTTGTAACTTTACCATTATTCTATCGACGGTCAGTTCTGACAAGTCAGTACGGACAGTCGGTTTGTTTCTGACAACAGGCCCTGGGGAGAAAGAAGAGGAGCTGCTAACATTCGTACACTTGACGTTCACTTACCACGTAGGAAGCCATGTCTGCCGACGGCTTCTCCTCCTCCTCTGCCACGACAGCTTCCCCGGTGTTCCTGCATCCGGGTTTCAGCGGAGACTTCCGCGCGGCTCTCTCCCCGACCTTCCTCCGTCTCGCCGCACGCACCGACGGCCGTCTGAGCGACGAGCGAGATGGAGAGGTGCTGCCGCCGCCGCGCGAGATGTCCGACGACGTCGCCGCCTCGGACGAGCCGACGGCGCCACCTGGCGAGAGGCTCCGCTCGAGCGATGTCGCCGCTGCGACAGTCGACTCCTCCTCGTCGTCGCCGGACGTCGAATCGCGCCGCGCTCTCGCCAGGGGGCGCCCCCTCTGCGGGGCGATGTTCGTCGGCGGGGTTCCGCGCTGGGATGACGCGGGTTGCCGTGACGACGCCTGCTTGACAAGCAGCGAGGCGAGCTGCAACTCCAGTTTGTCCAGCCGCAAATCTCGCTCACCGTCCATGCCGCCCTCGCCATGAACCTACGTAGAGACTATACTTAGGACTGTACATACTAGACTTACTAGAAGATTACGTTCGTGTACTTAAACGAATGGCTACAGTCTCAGTTGTTACAAGTTTTAGTAACGAGAGAGATGTTAAAATCATGCAGGCAGGCATCTTCTTCTACGTTATTCTCGACTCGATGCGATAGAAAGAAACAGGCGTTAAAAATGAGAACAATTCGCAAGTTTTTTTCGCAACTCTGTAAGTGAATGCATATTATTAGACCGATGCATATCTTGATCCGCAACTCCGGTAACCATCATTGATAGGCTGAGGGAAGTGCTAGTAACGAACGCGTGCAATCGACGCACGTGGTTCTCTCCCGTCGTCCGCGGCTACGAGACAGAACACGCCGCACCTGCGCTGCGTCTGTCGACGATGCGACGATGTGAGCGGAGGTCCGAGCGTCGCGTAGGTTCTCTAACATCACGTCGATCCTCGGCGTGATGACGGCGTTTGACGCTTCCGCCCGACGCCCGAGCAGCAGATCAGAAGAGATATGCGTGCCTGTAATCAGCGATCGATGTGTTACTGTTACGCTTCTGCTATACCAGCTTCTGTAACCAGCGATCGATGTGTTACTGTTACGCTTCTGCTATACCAGCTTCTGACATTCTACGTTACGTTTAATCGACGATGCGTTTTGTATTCCGCATTCTCGATGATTGCTGTATTGATATAGGAAACATTTTCTCTATGGAGTAAACACAAATGCCAATTGCACAGCTAAACTTATCATCATTATGTTGAGTACCATAGTAGGAAGCTTTAAAAAACGTACCAAGTTGGAATTGTGTGCTGTTAGCATTGGCAATGGTGCGTCCTGTGCGATCGTATCCATCAAGAACCAACAAGTTTGTCATTGATTCGAGTAGAGTTCTTCTGTAAGCTGAATGGATGAGAAACGTTACTTATCAAAATGAATAAGAGAAAGAAAATCATAAATACACGTTCAAACGCATCTTTTAGTTTTGGTGCATGGCAACATTTAATTATGTAGTGTATTACTCGGCGATTATGTGGGAGTCAAAATATAAACACTTACGCATGAAGATTTCCAAACTGGCTTTGAATGAGAATATAGTACATGTGTATCTACACAGAAATAAAACTGACCCATGCATTAAATATGAAAATTGAGTCTTACCCATAGTAGAGCAAACAGGGTTTGCAGATTTATCGCACACCAACGTTAGAGTGTGTAGCTTCACACATGCCTGCAGACTGTGAACAAGGTGGTCGATATCTGCTAGCTTGTTTCCATGAAGAATGACCTGCGCCATGCTGTATGTGTTGCCACCCATGCCGCGAAAGCCCCCGATGTCTGTGATGCGATTGTATGACAGATTGATGGTGAGTAATCGTCTGGAAAAAATGGACCAAAGAATGTAGCTCAACCCGGCTCAATGACTGTTTCATGTAGCCACGTAGTGAGAAGCAAGAAGGTAACTTGTGGCTACAGCCAATTAGGTTTTCTGTTTAACCCCATTATTTTTGGTCGTAAACTATTACCAGCCATTCTCATGGCAGACAGAATAGGACATAAAACCGATTGTGGAATAATCGAGTAAGAATCAACAGCGTCAGCGGTATCAACACCGATTTGTTTACACGCACCTCAGCCCTTCCAGCCCAGATACAGCTTCCAGTCTGTTGCAAGCCACATTCAGCGCCTGCAGGCTACATAGATTGCCGAGCCCATCCAATCTGTCGATAGCGTTAGATGACAGATCAAGGTGTGTCAGACAATAAAGATGTGCAAGTCCCGTAATGCGCGTGATGGAGTTGCAGTGCATAGACAGGGACTGCAGTTGCGGCTGTAGCTTGACATCGTCAATATTTTTAATGTCGGCATCAATATAGCTTCGTGTTGTCGTGGAAACTGATACTTCCATGGTAATGCTAATAGGTCTCTGTGTGTTACTGTTGTAAATAAAACAGTGTCAGCAATGCCAGTCACCCAGTGGCAATGACAGTGTGACTGTCATTATTACTAGTACTAATACTATGAGGGGTCTATCAATAGTATCAGGAGTCTCCTGATACTATCTATAGGCTAGCCTATACTATTACTAATAGGACGTGGATATTCGTCCGAGCATCGGACACCTGTTCGTATGCGCTATTCGTCCGAGCAGTTGTTGCGCATGCGATGTTTATGTTGTATTACATAAATGTAATATAATACTAGTCTAGGGAGGCGCCTACTCCCTAACCCTAACCCTAATCCTAACCCTAACACTAACAATAAACCCACTGGGTTCTCTTATTATACGCTCGGTTTCGTATATATAGGCTAGTGATAGTACCAAACACTATCTATGGTGTATAACCACATACGCAACGCATGTATGCAGGGGCGTCACAGCCGTAGGGCTGCCGTAGCAAAACGCTACGGGCCCCCAGCCTAAAAGGCATAAAATAATCAAAAATCTAAAGGGTAAATGGCATTTTAGAGCGTCTACATTTAAAAATTGTCTGGGGGGAGACCCCCCTTCACACTTACTACCTACGGCACTCGTGCCGTGCGCCTGCGGCATGCAACAGTGCATGCGCAACAACTGCTCGGACGAATAGCGCATACGAACAGGTGTCCGATGCTCGGACGAATATCCACGTCGTTCATAATACTAGTAGTAGTATAGTATAATAAGAAGACCTGAAAATGCTAGTACTCATGAGGCCATCATAGCTATAGAGTCTCAGATGCCAGATGGGATTAAAATGAGTAACTATGTTTTATCAATTTAGTTAAACCACCAACACGTGGGCACCATAAGCAGCGCGCCGTAGCCAGCTTTAATATCTGGGGGTTCGTTTTCCAATGTGTGGCAATGTTCGCTGGCCGGGCGTGTACAGGAATTTGTACAGCAGGGGGAGAGTGAATTTCATCCCGGCCAATATGAAAATAAACCCTGCTCAAATTAAAATGACTATCTCTTAAATAAAAAGACGTGTGCGCGACGTAACCAAGCCCACTATCCAGAGCATTACAGTAGTCTAAATCCAATTATCAAATAATATATGTTAGCCTGTGCCGTAAAGCATAAGGCGCAAGCACACCCGAGCAAAAACACCGGGGTCTGACGGCAGAGGCGAGAAGAACCTATGTGGCGCTCGAATGTTCGTGGCTGTGTGCCCGGATTCGCCTTGAGAACAGAAAACACCGTTATCTATTGCTTCCAGTGCAGCCGAGCACGTAGAGGGTGTGTTCGCTCTGAAACCGAGAAGGCAATGTTTGATTCGCCGAAAGCGTGTTCTTCGTCGCCACTCTAGGAAGCGCGTCCACGTTCTCTCGCCCCGAGGTGTGTGCGTCGATCGTTCTGCTGGCTACATTCAGCGAAACCACACCCAGACGGTCTCCAATCAATATCCTTAGAAAATACTCAGGCATGAAAACAGTGCCACGCCCCTCGTAACAACGCCCCTGCTCGGCAAAAAATGGATGTCACGTAATGATGGATGGCTATTTTTGATGTCATGGGTGGCGAAGCGACCAGGCGAGGGGAGCCAAGCGACGCTGAGCGCGCACGGGGAAGCGTGCGGCGCTGTGGAGGGGGGGTGTTCAACACGCAGTGTTTCTGTATGGTTTTCGAGCCTCAGCTCCGTGTGTGCTGTGTCGGGTGCGTATGTGCGCTTGCTCGCACGATGGAGATTTTGCAATTATACACCTAAATGGAGCGACCTAGGTGAAATTCTTGGCAAATTTGCATACAAAAAATTGTTTGTTTGGGGAGGGCTCCGGGGGGGGGGAGTGGTTCGTTCGGAACCCCCGAACCCCCTCTGGCTACGGGCCTGCATTAGGGCCTGATACATCATAGTATTGGTAGGCCTACATCAACTTGCATGCGGTGTCATACGCTAGCTTCACTAATATTAACGCACAAAACCTTATCATCGACCTTAGTCATCAATAATGTTAAGATAAGAAAGCAAACAAGTAAATTCTGCGAATTTACTTTAGACCTGATCAAAAACAAGAAAAATCAAAACAAGCGGTTTCTCGAAGGCGTTTGTGATTGGTCACTCCGGTGTTTCCCACCAGATGTCGCTGTCGCAAATCAGACAAAATTATAGACTAGTTCTCGCTCCCACCTCGATTACGCGATAAGTTACCCATCTAGTAACTAAGCCGAGAGGTGGAAGCGAGTACCAGTCTAACGAAATTATCGCCACTCTTGCCCCTAGNCCTGCTACAGCTCTGATTGGGCGCAACGATTTCGTGTTTCTTGATGCGGGTATGGTGTACGAACGAGGTCATACTAAAAATATGCTGAAATAGACATCATTTTAGCTTAAATGGACCTAAAAATTGCTTAAATGGACCTAACTATGCTGATTTGGCTAAATAGGCGCTGATTCAAGCAGAACAACTGCTGATTGATGCAAAACAACTGCTGATTGATGCAAAACAACTGCTGATTGATACNGTATAGATGTACAAACATGTGATATACTTCACTAGCACTCAGTGTCAGTATAGATGTACAAACATGTGATATACTTCGTTAATACTCAGTGTCTGTATAGATGTACAAACATGTGATATACTTCACTAGCACTCAGTGTCAGTATAGATGTACAAACATGTGATATACTTCACTAGCACTCAGTGTCAGTATAGATGTACAAACATGTGATATACTTCACTAGCACTGAGTGTCTGTAT